TAGGTGATCTGGAAGTCTGTTTTTGAGGCTTGTTTATGTGTTTTCTCATTTCCACGGGGGGGGGTGCTTCTGGCTCCCACGCAGCTCACCTTCTCTGCCCTAGGAGCTTGGGATGGCGGTGGCGTCGCTAGAGGGGATGGCCCCGCCCAAAACACCCATAACCACCGCCTGGCCTCACCGGCGGTGGGGCCGGCAGATTCCACCATCCTCCCTTTGAGGGCGGCTGGACCCCCTGATGAGCATGGCAATCAGCCTCTCCAGTATTGGCCCTTTGCCACTAGTGACCTTTATAATTGGAGCATACAACACGCCAAGTTTTCCGACAATCCCAGGGATCTAATCCAACTGTTGGAAACTGTTTTGTTCACCCACCAGCCCACTCGGGATGACTGTCAACGGCTCCTCCAGATCCTGTTCTTGACGGAGGAGCATGAAAGGATTCAGAACGAGGCCAGGAAATTGGTTCCTGGCGACAATAACCAACCCACTACCAACTTCAATACTGTTAACCTTTCCTTCCCATTGCCCCAGCCTGACTGGGACTTCAACACAGCAGAAGGTAAGGAGAGACTCTGGGTCTATTGCCAGACTCTGTTGGGAGGTCTCAAGGTGGCTACTTGTAAGCGCACCAATTTGACCAAGGTAGGGGATGTACAACAGGGACCAAATGAAAGCCCTGCAGCCTTCCTAAAAAGAATTCAGGAAGCCTTCCGTAGGTATACTCCTATAGATCCAAAAGCAATTGAGACAAAGGCAGCTGTAGTAATGCATTTCATCAACCAGGCAGCGCCATATATTAGGAGAAAGTTACAGAAAGTAGACAGACTGGGAGAGAAGAGTATTCAGGACATAGTGGCAGAAACAAGAGAGAGACTGCAGAGGAAAGACAGACAAAGGCTGATGATCGGTAAACTAAGAACCTAGTTCAGATCCTTCTTGCCACCACTACAGGAGAGCCAAAGGAACATGAACGTCGACTGAGAAATATTGCGGCAAAAGGACAAGGTAAGGGGGAACGTAGGGATCTCCCCCGATTGGGAAAGAACCAGTGTGCTTATTGCAAAGAAGAAGGCTACTGGGCCAGAGAATGCCCTAAGAAGCCAGAAAGCTGCCTCCAAAGCCCCCAGTTGACTCTGTTACAATATGTAGATGATCTCCTTATAGCAGCTGAGACACAGGAGGACTGCCTAGATGGAACCAAGAAACTCTTAACGGTTATAGGGGAACTGGGTTACTGGGCATCTGCCAAAAAGGCCCAAATCTGCAAACCTGAGGTAAGCTGCCTGGGGTACATACTTAAAAAGGGGCAAAGGTGGCTATCAGACGCTAGAAAAGAGACAGTTCTTAAGATACCTACACCAGACTCCCCTCGAAAAGTTACAGAATTCCTAGGATCAGCTGGCTTCTGTCACTTATGGATACCGGGGTTCGTGGAACTTGCAAGGCCCCTTTATGAGATAACTAAAAACAATCAGGC